TTTTTTTTTTTTTTTTTGGCTGCGCCACATGGCATACAGGATCTTAGTTGCCTGACCAGGGATCAAACCCGTGCCCCCTTCAGTAGAAGCATGGAGTCTTACCCACTGGACTGCCAGGGAAGCCCCCATTTTGCAATATATACAAATATTGAATCATTACGTTGTATACTAAACTAATAGATTATATGTCAATTTATATCTAAAAAAGGAAGGAAGGAGGGGAAGGGAGGGGAAAAGAGAAAGAAACAGTGACTAAAGCTAGAAAGGGCCGGGGCAGGCAATGCAGTGTAAAAAATTACAGAAAATGTTATCTGTGTTACCCTCATCTCTTGCCTGGATTTCTTTAAAAGTTTTCTTGTTGCTCTCCACTCCACTCCCCCAATCTGGTTGGAACATAGTACCCAGACTAATCCTTTAAAAATATACACCAGACCATGTTATCCCCCTGCCATATCATGAGAGGTCTTGTAGGCCACAGTAAGGAATTTGAGTTTCATGGCAAAAACAGAAAAACTCTAATAAAATATAAAAATATAACCACAACAGGATGCAGCCAGTTACCAAAGAGTCAAATAACTTCCATATATCTTTCTGAGTCTCAAGGTAAACAACTGTAGTACAAAATAATGCTTAATATTGAAAATAAGTGTGTCTTAGTGTACTCAGTTTATGGTAACAGTGAAGAACATAACCTGTTTTAAAAATCTTTTTCTTTAAGATGGCTAAAATTTCGCTGAAATTTGAGGGATACCCAAGATATTCAGGATACATTTTCCAACGGTTCTGGGTAGTCTAGGAGGTTATTTACACCATAGTCAACCAGCACATATGTATGTTTTGCTTTCACAGAAAACATCCATTCCAAGTTCAATTCAGTTTTTCTTAGCATCTTCAAAGTGTAAGTCCTATGTAAAGATTTATAGGATTTTGTCCCTGCTTCCATGGATCTTGCAATCTAGTGGAGGACTCAGCATGCAAATACTTAGGAATGCCAGGAATACTCTTTACCAGCACTAGGGCAGAATTTTTCACCCTGAAGCAGGGACTGGGCTGGTTATGGGCTAGACTGCAGTAGCAGCTATGAGCAAGAAAAAAATGTCCCGAGCACAGTAACTTGTTAACTTCTAACATTTGCAAAGAGAATGTGCCTTTCTCAGTCATGATATTCTACAAAAGTGGACAAAGAATGGTATGATTATGTGCCCAAATAATGGGCACTGAAAATAACTTCCCTGGATGCCTGTTTCTTCCCAGGTGATTCCTAAGTCAGAGGTGTATAAATTGGGAGCTGTGTGTTTTATGTTACAAGTGATCCCAAATGTAGTTTCTACACATTAAAAATAAGGATGGTAAAATCGTTAAGTCTAACAGAGCAAAGTGTCAAATAACTTGTCTTTTTAATTTTTAAAAGGTTATAACCCCTAGAATAAGGTTGTTTAACAAAAGAATCAATAAATTTTAAAATCTACATAATCCAGATCCTATACATATATGAAAATTAGCAACAAGTCTAAAATTTTTTTAAACAGGCAAATATGATACACACACACACACACAAAAAACAGCATAAAGTTAGACTTACCGTAATAGGAGTTCTTTGGGAAGTTTTTTATTAATTACAGCTTCATCGCTATTTGAGAACATCTGCAAAAACAAAATCATTGTGTCAAGTGTCACTTAACATTTTATTATGTTCAACTCAACAGTTTAGAGGTAATCCTCTTAGGAGAGAGGTGAATAAGTATAGTGGGTGTTATAAGCCAAAGTCATATTTTCAGAAACTCTTTAGGCTAAAAAATGTCTGAGACATTTAATTTGTTCCCTGTCTTTAGAAAAAAATGAACTAATAGCAGTCAGTATGACATTATGTGCCAGGTGCTATTTTAAGTGTATTTTATGTATTAGTGTACTGAATCTTCATACTACCCTTAATCTTCATTGTACATATAAGGAAACTGAGTTACAAAAGGTTTATTTGCATATCAGTACAGAGTGACCATTTAAAAATGCCATTAAGGTAAGGTTATTCTCCAAATCTAACTCACATTTATTTGTTCACAGAGATGTTCAGAAACCTAGGATAGGAAACGTTCTCTTTCAAGTTTTATATATCATGCAGAAAAGTAATAATGCCTCATAACCACCACCACATGCATTCTGGATGCATGCAGGATCATTTAACAAATTAATTAAATAACTCATAATGGGTACTTTTAACAGAGCCGTCACTATAAGCTTGTCTAGTAAACTACATAAAAAAAAACCAAATATCTATACATCCAATAAAAAGCAACTAAAAACAATACACATGTCACTGAGGCTGAGAGGAATATGTTCAGTCCCTGCTATTAGGTATTACATAGATGCCTCTTGACTTCATACAATGAACATTTCCTGAACACCCTGTGTTAGGCACTTTTCTAGGCAATGAAATACCAAAACAGTAAGATGTTATCTCTGTACTTAAGGAGCCCCTGCTCTAAAATGAAGAACACAGAAATAAGCAAATACTAATTTTGGACTGGCATCAAGGAGATAAGCTAGAAATATATTAAAATTATAGTTCAAGCAAAAGATGATGCAGGTAAGATTACAGGGGTGGTGGAAGTGGTAAATAAAAAAAGTAGACAAAAGGATTTTTTTTTTTTTTTTTTTTGCTGTATGCAGGCCTCTCACTGTTGTGGCCTCTCCCGTTGCGGAGCACAGGCTCCGGACGCGCAGGCTCAGCGGCCATGGCTCACGGGCCCAGCTGCTCTGCGGCATGTGGGATCTTCCCGGACTGGGGCACGAACCCGTGTCCCCTGCATCGGCAGGCGGACTCTCAACCACTGCGCCACCTGGGAAGCCCGACAAAAGGATTTTTAAAGAAGCTACAGGACTTGCTGATGGAAAGTTGGATCATCTACCAAGTTTCAGTGCAGCAAACACACTATGTTAAAATAAAAGTAATGCTGCCTGACAATTACAATGTTTTTGGAAATTGCCTGACATCAAAGAATAATCTGCTTCCCTAAATTCTCTACCCATTAATGGGAGGTATTAAGAAAAAATCATATCCCTTTTCTATAAGGCAGACTTTCAAAATGAAGCCATCACATTTCCTCCTAAACAAGTTCTCAAACTCCACGGTTTCTAAGACTCTACACTATGAAGATCATTCTTCTCCAGGTACACTTATAGGAAAGAATGCATGAAGTAGTTATAAAGTATACCCTAAGTAATCTAGGGTTGATGACATAAATAACAATGTTATTTGTTGATAACATTATAACATTATGTTATTTATGATGACATAAATAACATTAGCAAAGACAGCTAATGTATCCAAAATTGAGACCTGCCTGGGGGACTTCTTAGCACACAACATATATCTAAAGCTTGAGATCTTGGGGAAAAATCAAGTTAGTAAGTATAAAACAATATCACTAAGCTAAGCACCCAATATACTAGACTATGCCCAACTCAAATCCACAAAATATAAAAGATAATCATTTTTATACGAGAAATGCTAAGCTCTTTATCTTGTATATTCAAAGTATTTAATTGAATGCTACGTACCTCACCCACCAAGGCACTTTGCTCACTTGAATATACAAGGTAATTAAATTGATAAAAAATATAAACCTGCTCTGTGTTGTTCACATGATTTGTGCAATTCTAGATACAAAAAGGAACAAAAATCCCATCCAGGGGCTTCCCTGGTGGCGCAGTGGTTAAGAATCCGCCTGCCAATGCAGGGGACACGGATTCGAGCCCTGGTCCGGGAAGATCCTACATGCCGTGGAGCAAATAAGCCCATGCGCCACCAACTACTGAGCCCACGTGCCACAACTACTGAAGCCCGCACGCCTACAGTCCCTGTTCCGCAACAAGAGAAGCCACTGCAATGAGAAGCCCACACACCGCAACGAAGAGCAGCCCCTACTCACCACAACTAGAGAAAGCCCACGCACAGCAACAAAGACCCATCTCAACCATAAATAAATAAATTTATTTTTTTAAAAAAGTCACACCCAGCAGCAATTTTTTTCCCCTAAGTCACTCTAAATAGACCAAATGTTGTCTCTGTAAGAACACAACGTATATGAAAAGAGAAAAGAAAAAAAGGAATAGACAGTGTCCTGGGAAACATCATGTGTATAGGATATCTGTCCAGATTTATATTTCCCTCCAATTCCTTCTGCACATATGTATCCTACTCCAAGTCTGCAAGAAAAAGATCAGTGGTTCACAAACCATGGTCGCCTGACTAACAGCATCAGCATCAAACAGAACCTTGTTAGAAATGCAAATTCTTGGGCTGTACTCCAGACCTATAGCATCAGAAACAGGACGCCAGGGGTGGTGGAGGGAAAGGGGGGCAATTTGTATTTTAACAAGCCCTCCAGGTGATACTGATGCTTCCTAAAGTTTGAGAACCAATGGAACATATAAAATAGATTGAGAATCTCAGGACTTAAGAAATTACAGTTATAACACATAATCAGAATATTTTATTATTTGAAGTAACATAGCAATGGAGCTTAGAAAATAATCCTAGAGGTAGACACACATTAATTTTAGATGTTTTCTAGGAAACCCAAATGGTTTCTGCTCCAGGTCATGGTATTGGGTTTTTTTGTTTGTTTAATTTTTTGGCTACATTGGGTCTTTGTTGCTGCGCACGGGCTTTTCTCTTGTTGTGAGGAGTGGGGGCTACCCTTCATTGCGGTGCACGGCCTTCTCACTGCGGTGTCTTCTCTTGTTGCAGAGCAAGGGCTCTAGGTGCGCAGGCTTCAGTAGTTGTAGCACGTGGGCTCAGTACTTGTGGCACACAGGCTTAGTTGCTCCAGGGCATGTGGGATCTTCCTGGACCAGGGGTTGAACCCGTGTCCCCTGCACTGGCAGGCGGATTCTTAACCACTGTGCCACCAAGGAAGTCCCCATGGTATTGTCTGTAAAATAAATGTTTCACAGAAGCAATAGAATACATGTTTTAGATATCTTACTATTTCAGCTGAATCCAAACTCTAGGTTTCTCATACAAAATATAAAGGGTTTCAAATCCAATTATATCAAGGATATAATGAATTATAACAAATTTGTGAAAGTTTTAGACATAATCGTAGAGAAAGTCACTGTTCAAACATTTGACATTCTTAGGTTATCTGGTTTCACATTAATGTGTGGATAGATTATTATATATTTTAATAATCTATCCACAAAAAATTACAAGGATATTGTGGGGGGGAACATGAACAACTACATTGTTCTCTCTTGATTATTTCTTTCAAGGTAGGACATCATCCCCTAAACAAACAAAAACAGACACTGCAACAGCCCCCCTGTCTTATAGGGATAGGACATTCTTAAACATTCAGGTTTTTAAAAAACTAAGTGATTTGTTTTGTCATACATTAGCATTTACTGTTGTTTTGTATAAAACTGTAATCGTTTTTCTATAAATAACCTAGCTGAGAAATATAACTGTGAAACCACTTGTTGCAAACTGTAATTACAACATAGAGTTCCTGAAGAGTAAGAAGCATTTTTTTTTTGGCTATTATTTTAGCCTTTCTGATCAGTTTTTAAATCTTTGGCACATTCTGGGTATTAGTTTACTAATATAGTAAATTTAAATACTTAGCACACAAAAAAGACACAGGAAACCAATTCAAGAGGCTTTAAATACAGGATCTCGGTGGGAAATGCAGATGGGTTGAACAAAGGAAACAGGAAAAGAAATACTTTCACAACAGTGACCCCTGCTGATTAAAGTATAGCTACCAACTCCAAAAACGGAAATTAAAAGGTCTGACCTATGTTATTCAAGCATTATGGAAGAAATACAAAAGTTAATATATGTATTTTGGCACAGAATACTAGTATCCCCTCATATCCTCTCTACTCATCTACAGTAACAGAATTCCCAATTTTTAGCTAGCACATGGCTGCGTGGAAAGAAGACTTTATTTCTCATTACGTTCTGGCCAATGGAACCACTGTGCCACCAAGGAAGTCCCCATGGTATTGTCTGTAAAATAAATGTTTCACAGAAGCAATAGAATACATGTTTTAGATATCTTACTATTTCAGCTGAATCCAAACTCTAGGTTTCTCATACAAAATATAAAGGGTTTCAAATCCAATTATATCAAGGATATAATGAATTATAACAAATTTGTGAAAGTTTTAGACATAATCGTAGAGAAAGTCACTGTTCAAACATTTGACATTCTTAGGTTATCTGGTTTCACATTAATGTGTGGATAGATTATTATATATTTTAATAATCTATCCACAAAAAATTACAAGGATATTGTGGGGGGGAACATGAACAACTACATTGTTCTCTCTTGATTATTTCTTTCAAGGTAGGACATCATCCCCTAAACAAACAAAAACAGACACTGCAACAGCCCCCCTGTCTTATAGGGATAGGACATTCTTAAACATTCAGGTTTTTAAAAAACTAAGTGATTTGTTTTGTCATACATTAGCATTTACTGTTGTTTTGTATAAAACTGTAATCGTTTTTCTATAAATAACCTAGCTGAGAAATATAACTGTGAAACCACTTGTTGCAAACTGTAATTACAACATAGAGTTCCTGAAGAGTAAGAAGCATTTTTTTTTTGGCTATTATTTTAGCCTTTCTGATCAGT